AAGCTGCTTTGCTATTAACCACTGGATGATCGATACGGTTTGGGTTTGCAGGTTGGCTATGGGAGAGTAATTTGCAACACTTAATATATCAATAAGTTTGATTCATTGATCAGAATAAAGTTTGATGAATGTCCTGCATCAGCAAACACATCATTGGCACAGATGAGATCAAAGACCATAGTTTATATATTATAGCCCAAATATGATATAAACACAGAAGCCAATCGCAAGACTGCGTCTGCAAATCCCTTTAAAACACCCTGCAGTAGATGTATCAAGCCGAATACTGTTACCACAGACTGAAAACTGTTTTATAGTGGGGGAAGTTACACACGCCTATGATGGTTATTCTCATCTGTCCATAAAACATAAAACATAAACCGCAGGACTATTAATTCCTGTAGTTTTCAAACTTTGCATCAACAACTGTGAAATAAACAAAACTGTAGCTGGTGTAGAAATGTAGTTTCAAACGGTTTCGAATCTCGGGTAGGCACACACACACACACACACACACACACACACACACACACACACACACACAAACACACACACACACACACACACACACACACACACACACACACACACACACACACACCAGACATACACCTACACCCACACCTTTTCTATGTACTAAACTTCATTCATGACAGACAGAGCGAGAGAGAGAGGGAGAGGGAGAGGGAGAGGGGGATTACGTCATGCACAGCAGCCAATGAAGCTGTGGAGCGCACTATAAAGCCAGAGCCCAATCTCTGTTTTTGGGACATCAAGAGAGTAAACGCGGACAATAACTCAACTGATCTATACTATTTTGAAAAGTACCTCTGGGATCACAGCATTTTTCCTCTTTGACTCTTCAGCTAAGGTAAGCTTAATGTCACAGATAAGAGCAAAGTGCTGAGTGGAGATTGTTTGGTCAGAATAACTTGTATAAGTATGAGGTTCGTCTTTGCAGGTGCAAACTTAAATATGCTCATTGTTTTTAATAAGACTATTGTTTTTTATTGGTGGCTTTTCTATGAGCCTGTTTGTGGTGGTACTAAACTTAGCCTTACAAAGCCTAAGACTTTGCATTGACCATCACCTGTGTAAAGGGCTGTTGTGCAGCATGTAATAATCATAATGAGAATGATGATAAGCTTTATTTATATAGGTCTAGCATTTTGCTTAACAATGCTACTTAGTGCTTTACAAAAAGAAATAAAACCAGACAAGGCAAATAAAATGAAAATGAGACCAAAGAAATGTAAGCATATGGAGTCATGTTAATAATAAGATCAATGCATGAAAGCTTATAGAGTCACGTTAATAACAAACACATGCCTTGTGACAGTCTTTACTAACTTTAAACTTTATGGTTCATGTCGTCAACATGTTGCACAACACCTCTTCTCCTCCCTGCCTTCACTACTCTAATGCCCCTCCTATTTAATTTCCAGGTTGTGTTGAAGCCAGAAAAAAAGTTATCATCATGGTGCTAATGATACTCCCATTCATTGGATCAGTGTCGGTTTCTGAGAGTTTGGTGGCCATGACAACGGTGTGTCTGGTCTATCTAATTCTCAGGTTTTTCCGCACTAAGATTCCTGAGGGGCTTCGTCAGCTCCCAGGGCCAAAGCCCCTGCCTATAATTGGGAATGTGCTGGAGGTGGGAAGCAAACCTTACCTGAGTCTCACTGCTATGAGCAAGCGATACGGCAATGTATTCCAGATCCAGATCGGCATGCGCCCTGTGGTTGTGCTGAGCGGCAGTGAAACTGTTCGACAGGCTCTCATCAAGCAAGGGGACGAGTTTGCAGGCAGACCCGACCTGTACAGCTTTCGCTTCATCAACAATGGCAAGAGTCTGGCCTTCAGTACCGACCAGGCCGGTGTCTGGCGTGCCCGCAGAAAGCTGGCCTACAGTGCCCTGCGCTCCTTCTCCACCCTGGAGGGCACAACCCCAGAATACTCATGCATTCTGGAAGAACACATCTGCAAAGAGGGAGAGTATCTGATCAAACAGCTCAACACCGCCATGAAGGCCGACGGCAGCTTCGACCCATTCCGCTACATTGTGGTCTCTGTGGCTAATGTGATCTGTGGCATGTGCTTCGGCCGACGGTACGACCACAACGATCAGGAGCTACTCAGCCTGGTGAACATCAGTGATGAATTCGGCCAGGTGGTGGGCAGTGGCAACCCAGCAGACTTCATCCCTATCCTTCAATTCCTGCCCAGCACAACAATGAAGAGGTTTGTGCGCATCAATGATCGCTTCAATAAGTTTGTGCAAAAGATCGTCAGCGAGCACTACACCACCTACGACAAGGTACACCGCCGCTATATCATTCATGAAATTTTCATTCCTCCGTTCTTGTTTAGAGACATTATTTCCTCTTTCAGTCACTGCGTATTTAAACTTTAATGAGATTGTCCAATCATTTCCTTTCAGGACAACATCCGTGACATCACTGACTCCCTCATTGATCACTGTGAGGACAGGAAGCTGGATGAGAACTCCAATGTCCAAATGTCAGATGAGAAGATTGTAGGAATAGTCAACGACCTGTTTGGAGCTGGTACGTCTATATGTTGAATGATCTGATCATAAGTGACCTCTGTATAAATACTTTTGAAAAAAAGTCCTGACAGAGTTTTGTTTTTCTCTGTCTAGGTTTTGACACCATCTCTACTGCCCTGTCATGGTCGGTGATGTACTTGGTGGCTTACCCAGAGATCCAGGAGAGGCTTTATCAAGAACTGAGTAAGTACAGCTTTTTTACACAGTATAGATCTTGGATGTTACATTTATCTGGCAGTAAAGTAAAAGTGTGATAAATGCATGGCTTTGATGACCAGTGGATATAACAGGGTTATTTATATCCTTGCACTGATTCAAGGGGAAAGAGTAGTGCAGGAACACGCATTTTGCTACTCTCAAAGTCGAATGTCTGATTGTGAGATAGGACGGTAGACTGCAGCCTCCATCCTCACCCTGGATTACTATTCTTTATTTTTCAGAGGACAAAGTGGGCCTGGACCGTTCTCCTCTTCTCTCTGATAAACCCAAGTTACCTTTCCTGGACGCTTTCATCCTGGAGATCTTTCGCCACTCTTCATTCCTGCCCTTCACTATCCCACACTGGTGAGGTTCATGTCTTTTTGATGAGATTACCACAGGTGACAACTGACAATGAGATGCTAATACCATGCTATCAGAGATTCACACAAAGACGGAGACCAGGACATGGTTGTCACTAGCATAATAATGTATGTGGTATAAACCTGTAAATAAACAATAGACTAACACTTAGTTTTTCTTTTTCAGCACCTCAAAAGACACATCTCTGAATGGCTACTTCATTCCCAAAGACACATGTATCTTCATCAATCAGTGGCAAATCAACCATGATCCGTAAGTTCTTTTTGTTTCATTTTCTTTCTTACTTTTTTTTTTTTTTTGCTCAAGAGCACACCGTAGGTAGTTAAAAAGGAAGACACATAGCAGCCTCAATTCACTTCCCAAACCTGGCTGAATCAAAGAGATTAAATCTCTAATTTATCATGCTTTCAGGGTTATTTGTACCCCCTATCTTATTTCTTCATTCTCTCCACTTTTCAGTGAGCTGTGGAAAGATCCATCCTTGTTCAACCCAGACCGCTTCCTGAACGCTGACGGCAGTGAGGTCAACAAGCTGGAAGGAGAGAAGGTGATGGTTTTTGGCATGGGAAAGCGGCGCTGTATCGGTGAGGTCATTGCACGAAATGAAGTCTACCTCTTCTTGGCAATCATTATCCAGAAGCTGCACTTCCACGCCATGCCTGGAGAGCCGCTGGACATGACACCTGAATACGGTCTCACAATGAAGCACAAACGCTGCCACCTGAGAGCCACAATGCGAGCAAGGAATGAGCAGTGAACTTATTTACCATGTACAATGTATGACTCAACAGATGGTATAAATTGACTCTAGCACTGTAAGGGTCACAGTCAAATTAAAGTGTAAGTGTCAGTGGAGGAAGCATCTTTCTCAGAATGTAAGGCACTGCATGCCAAATTTGATCTACAAAGCTAATGGCATTAAAGCAAATAAGTGAAATTTGCTTGTGGAAGATTGTCAGAGATGTGTAGGGTTGTGTGAACATATCTCTGTCATGTTTTTGGGTCTCTAAGAGATACTCCTGCACATGGTTGGTGCTTCTCAGTGAAGTAAAAGGAGATACTTGGCTCTCCTATTGTGTTGTCCAGTAATCTAAACTGCTCCCATTCATAAAACACACTGAAACTTTTAAAAGTTGCCTTGTTCAACTTTGGGACAAACTGTATGCTTTACTGGATAGGCATTATTATTTAGACCATTGCAACCTTTTTCTTTTCTGTGACATCAGAACAGATATTACCTTATGATACCATTTATACTTGTAAGCTATTTTTATTCCATTATAATGTGGATGTAAGACACTGAAGATATATTTGTATCCCAAAATGTGATTTTGTGTGTATATCAAGTTCTTTCTATTTTATAAAGTAATTTTTTATGTGCCTAGCGTTTGTATATATTTGAGGTGAAATAGTTTTGCTGTGCATCTATATGATCTATCAGGACACCAAAAGAGTTCCAATGATTTTTGGAATATATTAGTAAGCTATACAATTTTTTATTTCTATCGCTAATGTATCAATGATTGTATAACATGTAAGGGCATGTGACTGGAGCATCCTTTAATCAGCCTCACAAATAAAATAAAACATATGGTTTAATGATCCTCTTGTTCCTATTTCTTGCTTGATTTGAAAGAAAATAAACACACCCACTCATTGACACACTGATGACCATCACATGAAGATGAACTAAGTCACTGATGCACAAAAAGGTGCATCCAAGTCAGAATATGTTACAATATTGAGGTCTCACATGAGCCGTTTTAAGCTTCAGAGAAAAAAATGACAACAAACCCACGTGGGAAAAGAGGGAAGTGACGCCAGGCGTCAAACCGGAAAACGGCACAAACAGCAGCTGGAGCCAAACAAACTGTGCAGGCTGGAGCTTTGGCTTTCATTGGCACCTCGCTACAGATTTATCAACAAGGTATATCTATCTACTATCGACCAAATAGACCCAGGTTGTGTATTCAAAATGAGTAAACTCTGTTCACAAGTTTACAACATTCCGCTAAGATAAAACGTAAACGGGCGGACAGAATTGAAGCTAACGTTAGCCGTAAAGCTAGCCAGCACAGCTTACTGGATGTGTAGCTTAATGCTGTGATTTTCATTCTTTCATTCTTTCTCCTTTCATTTCTGGAACTATACTCTCATATGGATGTTAAAATGGATGGATGTTTAAAGTTATTTCCACCCAAGATTTTTAATACTAATCTCTACCTTAGACAGGTTCACTTAACACGCGAAGTGCCTTTTAAAATTAGTGGTAGCTTTGGCTAATGTTTCCACAAACCTCGAAACATAATTGAAAATCTTTCATTTGAAGGGTCCAGTTTTAATATGTTGAACACCCATAACACCAAGACGTTGTCATTTGTTATCTGAATTCATTTTCAACTTATCTTTCCACTTTTAACTTATCTTATGGCCACCAATGTCTTCTCTGCACCGGTGGAAGTAACGTAAATTCACGAATTACATTTTAGGGCGTCAACCATTTAAAGTAAAGTACAGTGCATTAAGTAAAGTGCTGTGTAATGTTAATGGACCGATTATACCAGAAAACATTAAATGTTGGCAAAATGTCCTCAGTTACTGGGTAAGACATTTGCCCATAGGCTCAGCAACAGTAAAGTAGCACATTATTCAGTGGAGTTTGATTTAATGCTCCACAGCAGGAGAGCTGAACATCATATCTCTTGTTTGTGTTTTTTGAACCACAGGATCACAGTGAGCACAATGGCCACAGACTGGTTGGGTAGTGTTGTGTCCATTAACTGTGGACTGACGCTGGGAGTTTATCAGGGAGAGGTGTCATCTGTTGATCATGCCAGTCAGACCATCTCACTAAGACAGCCCTATCACAATGGGGTCAAGTGCCCTGTTTCTGAGGTCACATTCAGGTAAGAATGGAGACAGATGCCACCATATTTCTCATCCAACACATCCACTTTAATCAATTTTTAAAAATCTTCTATATGCAATCTTTAAAGCCGGACTATTAGTCAAATTTTTGTGTTTCCCACTCCTCCAACTGTTTCTATAAAAAGCTCTAAGACTTGTAATTATAACCTCTGCCTTGAAATTTGTAGTTCTCACTGATGTTGGGTGGAAAGCTGGATCCAGGTGTACATGTAGAAATTTTCAAAGCTACAGTATTTTCAATGTAAGAAAGGCATTTTGAAAATTTAGATTTTTTCTGACATCTCCTGTTCTTAGAAGAATGAATAAACCTGGCAAATATATGGAAGTATTGCCTATCGTAATGTTTTTACCCAGATCAGGCTCTAGACACAGGTTAAAATCTCTAAGTCAGGATACGCGATGTGAGTGAGTGAAGCTCAGGAGGAATTGCTGCAAAATTCTAGACAATATGAATAAGATTTACTTCACAAAATTAGTCACAAACTTGGAGCATAAATGTTACCACAGACAGTTCAGTGCTTCCCATTTAGGTTATTGTGGATTTGGATGGTGGGGGAAATTTTGGTTTCTTCTGTCCATGTTTGTTGTTTTGTCTGTTCCAGAATAGTTAGTAATGCATTAATACATTAATGGATCTTCATTATATATAGTCATTCTCAATAGGAATGAAACCCTTAATCATTTGGTAAGTGTTATAGGTAAGTTTTTGCTATCGCTACATAGCCAACATTAGCATTAACAGCTGTGTGCTTAATAGTGTAGAGAAAACATACCAAGGTCAGCATCAAACTTTCATTCATTCATTCCACAATGATGGCTGAAGCTCTTGGCAAACAACCATCACCACCACCACCTGCTCCTGGCAAGAAACCATGTTTGGCGTAATGGAAAACTTATAAATAGCACTTTTAAGTGTTGAGCCTTGTTCCACTGAAAGAGCTACACAAATCAAACCTGATAATTATTCAAGTACGTCAGTACAGTTCAGCTCAGGTAAGGCCAGTCATTTGTTTGTCTTCTAGTGCCATGGATATCAAGGAGCTGAAGTTCCTAGATATCCAGAATACAGTCAACAAGCCCAGTTCTGGTCAGGGAGCTGCAAAACAACCCAGCATCATATCAGCAGGGCGCCATGGCCAGAGTAACAGAACCACTCACCCTCCTGTAACAAGCAGCAGCTCTCATTCTGGCGCTGCTCCTATCACCATCCTACGCAGAGGTAAGTAAGTGGGTGACCTTAGATGGGATGGGGTTTATTTAACTCACAGTCCATTTTCTTTAGTCGAGACTATAGTTGAATATATTAACATTGTTTAGAGTTTCATAAATACTTGTCATTAATTGGACACAGTTTGCTGATGTGTCCTTTGGCACGTTAAGGAGCATGACTGTGCAGTGGAATACTAGAAGACTGACATGAGATTTTATGAGTGTTCCAATGTGACGTATGTTTTCATAACTAAGAACAGTGTATTTATGACAAGACCAGTTTATTTATGGCTTATGCTTAATCATTATGAAACTGCATTTCCTAGTTGTCATTTCACAGAACCAGACTGTTGTTGCAGAGTTCATATTAGGAGTCATGTACTTCATGACAGGAATATACAGTACTCCTCTGTTGAAGAACAGAAAATAGTTATTGTTCTTCCACTTAAGGAAATGTGAGCATGGCGTCATATATTACCCAATTTCTTTACTAATTCTCAGTTACCAATGATAATGGACTGAAAATTTAAAGTCACGAAACATCACTGCTTTTGATTGTACAACAGAAATGTGTCATGTTTGCTAGCTTACTATAAAAAAGGATCATGTTCTAAATAAGATTTCACACACTGCAAGTGCCACTAAAAGAGTAACGTTTCAAGCACTCCGATTTTTCTTTAATAAATAAAGGCTGACAATATTTTATGCTTTTTTTAAAAAAAAAATCCTTTATTTGTACAGGTGGTCTCATTGAGATCGGGATCTCTTTTTCATGAGAGACTTGTGTACAAAATTAACGTATACAGTTTATTTATAGACAGACACATAAATTCACAAGGTTTACAGTGGACACACAGAAAAGTCACAGATATATATTTTACACATACATACATACATACTAAATACATACATATACATACACAGTTTTTCTTTTAAAAAAATTGCATGTGTTGTAAATAATGAGTACCTTTTAAAATGTTTGAGTGAGGTGAGAGAAGGTAAATTCAATTATTTTTGGGCTCATTCCATTTTTTATTCACTGTAATATTTGAAATCAGCTCTCCCAAGTTTAGTTCATTTATTAGTTAATACTGAAGAATTAAATGTTTAAAATGTGTCATAAATATTTAATAAGCTAAGTAATTTCCTTAAACAGATGGGCATTGTAGGTTTTAACAAATGTTTCTCAAACAAGTGTAGAAAAGTGCATTTGAAGGGAAATTTTTTCAGCTGCAGTTTTGTGGTGAGATGATAGGCTATCACAAAAAAAATTACAGCAGCTATGTTCATGGTATTTAAGGAACATGTTATAGGATTTATTCACAGTAAGAAATACAGTGAATCACCAGACTTTACTTACTTAACATACTTAAGTGACAAAACATGCCATCCTAAAAATACATATCTATCAGTATCTTCTTTCAGGGGACACACAAAATAACTTAAACACTCTGAAAAATGTAAAGAATACCCCTCTCAGACCAATAAAGTTGGTCTGCAATTGATCTGAGTGAGTCAGTGTGTGTTATAGCTTGAAGACCAGAGCTGGATGTGTTTTGGTCACCGCTCTGCTTTGGTGAAAAATAATGTCTTAAGGATACATATTTAATGTTATGTTATGTGAATGATTTTTTTTTCTAATGTTGTTGACTACAATACTACCAACTGCTCCCTAAAAACAACAAAGACAATGTAACAGGAATACTGAACAGTGGACTGCAGTCCAACACAGTCCAAAATTCTGCCTCTATCCAAAATGTGGTTTAAAGAAAATAGAACAACAAATAACTACAAAATATGATAAACAGTCACATGTACACGCCATACAGTGATGAGCTGTGATGTTGATACTGAAAAGCACATCTGCATTCCCCTCTCCTGTCCTGTCTCAAGCTGTGAAAATGTGAATGTGTTGCTCAACCTCCTGATTAGATAAGGGTTAAAAACAGCATTTCCTCTAGTCAACATCCAGTCAGCAGGAAGTCTGCTTGGACAGCTCTGTGGCCTCTGCCGGATTCAGTTAAAGTCAGTTCACTTTCACACTCAGGATTATCAAACAATGGAGAGGTCAGAGGTCAATAGAATTGGCTAATGGACACTGTGCTATATTCTTCAGTCTGGTTGTAAAAATGACCTCTGCCTCAGTGCTTTTTCCTGTGCATAGAAGATGAAACTTGCACAATAGGATACCAATCTTTTTTTTCTTTTTTTTTTTTTTTTCTTTTTTTTTTTAACAAGAAAAAACAAATAGAATTTATAAATTTTTTGTTTTGTGTCAGAAAGACTCATAGCTCTTTGACACAGTCTCTGCTCCTGTGTGTCACCAGCTCCTGTTAAGGTGCTTGAGCATGGGACCAAACACACAAAGTCCCCCCCCTCCAAAGATTCCCATAGCGTGCTAAGGGCTTGTACCAAAGTTCCTCTTTACAATATGTGTGTGACTAAGATCAATAAACATTCCCCCTCCCTCTCCGTGTCTGCTCCTAAAGAGAAGGTTATGCAAAGCTTGGCTTTTCGTGCCTCCGTGCCCTCCTGTCCTCTCTCTCTCTCTCCCCATCTCCTCTAACTCCCTCGCTCCTGCTCTGCACAGGAAACCACCCCCCCCACCCAGCCCCCGACAGGAAGCCATGTTGTCCCAGTGTGCTCGGAAGGCCAAAGCGATATCAATTGTGGAAGTAATGTTTACCTTTTGAGTTTTTATTTTAATCTCCAGCTCTCAGGCTGGTGGCCAGGGAGCCAATGCCCAAATTGCATGGGGCCAAAGTGCTGAGTGCCTTGGGCAGGGCTGGTCCTTTCACACGCAATGCCATGCTCCCAAGAAGCCCCCGGCCACAAAGAAGGGAAAGCAGGGTGGCCCGTTGCTTATACAAGATCACGAATTCCAGAAATGGTTTCTGAATATCTACCACTGATCTTTCTGGGAGAGTAGGATGGGAATTAAGAGAGTGGCTGCTTTTTGTGATGCAGAGACCTCCAGAAGCAGAGACGAATTCCATCAGACCCAAATAGATCTGATTAAAAGGGCAGTTGAGAAGAGGAGCTCCAGACTCTGCTCTTACATAAACTGTTCCCATAACCAGCATGATGGCTCTGTATATGCACTGAAATTGTGTGCAACCTAGTGTTTTTCCCCATAAACCCTTGCCTCAGATATTTATAAATCAGTCACCTAGCACTTTATTAGGAACAGCTGTACACCTGCTTGATCATGCAAATATGCACTCAGCCAATCATGTGCCAGCAGTGCAGTGCATAAAGTCATGCAGATACAGGTCAGACGCTTCAGTTATTGTTCACATCAAACATCAGATTTCAGTGACGTTGACTGTAGCATTACTGTTGGTGCCAGACGGGCTGGTTTGAGTCGACTGATCTGCTGATCTCTGGGAATTTTCACAGACAACAAAAACATCCAGTGAGCAGCAGTTCTGTGACAGAAACGCCTTGTGGATGAGAAAGGTCACAGGAGAATGGCCAGACTGGTTCAAGCTGACAGAAAGGCTACAGCAACTCAGACAACCATTTTTTTTTACAACTGTGGTGAGCCCAGAACAGAGGTTTGAGGCTACAGTGGACACAGGTTCACTAAAATGGGACAGTTGAAGACCGGTCTGATGAATGTGGATTTTTGCTGAGGCATGCAGATGGTAGAGTCTGAATTTGGCATCAGCGGCATGAATCCATGAACCCAACTTGCCTTGTGTCAACAGTCCAGGCTGGTGGTGGCGGCGGTGTAATGGTGTGGGGAATGTTTTCTTGGCACACATGAGGCCCCTTAACACCAGCAATCGTGGTTTCTGTGCCACAGCTTATCTAAGTATTGTCGGTGACCATGTTCTTCCCTTTGTGGCCACAATTTACCATGGCTACATCCAGCATGATAATGCACCATGTCTTGAAGCAAACGTCGTCTCAAACTGTTTTTGTAAACATCACGAAGAGTTCAGAGAACTTCAGTGGCCTCCCCAGTCACCAGATCTGAATCCAATAGGACACTTTTAGGACTTGGTAGAAGTGGAGATCAGCAGCATGAATGTGCAGCTGACAAATCAGCAGAAATGATGTGATACAGTTATGTCAACATGGAGCAGAATCTCAAAGGAAAGTTTCCAACACCTTGTGGAATCAATGCCACAAAAGACCTGAGGCTGTTCTGAGAGTAAAGGGAAGCTGTGCCCAGAGCTAGTACAGGTTTATTCTTAATAAATTGCTCAGTGATTTTTATCATTGAAAGTTTTTGCTGAGTGTGCATTGTTTAGCGTCCCATTCATACACACTAAGAGCTTCACTATGTGATTGTGGTGCAGTTTTGCCATAAGCCGTATATCATTTTGAAATATTCCTGGCCTGTGTAGTTGGATGAATTTGTGGTGGTAAGTTTGTCCAAACTGAAATCAGTGAAGTTCACTCTGTCTCGCTACTTGGTATTCATTAGCCTGTTTGACTTGGAGCTCTGCCCAGTTCATTCAGACGATTGATTCATAGCATGACAAAACACTTCCTCGTAAATAAAGACATTGTTGGCTTGTGATAATAAGCACACTGTCTTTTATCCCTGTTCACACACTTGAACACACTAACCCACCATCTTTCTCCCTTGTACCAGATTCTGCATTGTTTTTTCTCCACATTATAATTATTGATAATTAGTAAGCTAATGCAAAACCATTTAGTAGTATACTTGTCTGTGTTGGAAGGAAAGTAATTAGTTAATATGGTGGTGGAAACACTGATTGCAAGTTGATAGACCAACTCAGTTCTGAATGAAGCGACAAAAACCTCACTCCTGTCTGTCGCTGAGCCGTGGTTGTAAGGCCGGAGTGTGATATTGAGGCAGGTCTCAGATTGGCTCACAACTGGCTAGTGGTGTTGTATGGCTGCCAGTGTACTATGACTGAGCCTCCCAGTGTCTTGCGTGAGAGTCCAAAGCACCTTAGCTGTCACAGTGACAGTAGCGTGCGACTGTGCCTCTCTGTCTCCTGGTTAGCGTGAGAGCTCAAGATGATTGGGGTTGAAGGCCAGGTTTTTCCGGTTTTTCTGTCTTTTTTTTTTTTTTTTTTGTTCTCGGTTCATTTTATTTTTTGTTTGTGCTTACATGTATGTAAACTTTATTGAGCACTGCTCAGTCGGCCATTGTATGTTTGGTGTGTCAGCTGTGTTTTGTTATCAGCGGGTTATAGTAACTAACTAACCGTGAGAGGATAAGAGGAGGTCCCAGTCAGAGTTACACAAGATAAAAGGAGTTACGAGCATCTACTCAGAATTTGAAACTGCTGAGTGCAGGAACTTATTGTGTATGGATTACACCCTTTACAACAGGATGATGTATAGTATGACAGCTTGTAGCGCCTTTCAGAGGTGATTAGGATGTGGGGGGATTTCTGGGTAATCTATGCATTTTGGGTTTGAGTGCTTGATATTACAGCTAAAATAGACCTGTTGTCGCCCAGCGCAAAGCTTCCCGCTCTCTGTCATGAAACCTCAGTTTGTATGTTGTATGTTATTAATTTCATGGTTACATAGTTGCCAGTGCTGTATGATTATTATTCTCAGACTGTTCTGGGAGTATATCTTGTACTCCGTGTTAATATTTAAACTTTTAAGTCCCTCTTTTCAGCATTTCTAAGCAGTATGCAGACATCAAATAAATTGTTTATAACACAATTCAGTGTAGTTTAGTAATGTACAGTAATGTACAGTAATTCATAGCAATTATAACTTCTCCTATTTAGACATGGATTTATCCATATTATCTCTCACTATCTTTTTATGCACCAACCTCTACCTTTGGGTGTCCACAGGAAGAGTTGTAGTTGTAGACAAATACATTAATAATCTGCTTACAACTACATTATAGTGGGTTATATACCATTTTACATGTTTATATACTGCTTATAAATGCTAAATATGGGCACTTAAAGTGTTTCCAAAATTTAAAGTTTTCTACGTGATGAAATAAAGAGGGATTATGAAATTAATATTCCATCTTTTTTAAATTGATTCACTAACAATAAATTGAATTATTGCTGAAGGTAGTGTGTGTGTAAATGCATTTGCTTCTCCATCAGTGCAGTAATGAATGATTGCAGCCTCAATCAGATAGCGATGATTTGGATGTCTATTGGCAAATATGATGTCTCTATCTCCCAAAGTACTGTAGATGTGCCTCAAGTGAATTGATCATTTTTTAGGTAATATATGTCAGACCAGATTATAATTTTTTTTTTCACATCATCCTTCACAAATCCTGAACAGTTAGGCAGTAGTATATCCAAGCTGTTTTTCTTTCCTGGGGGAGAGCAAGGTCCATTGGTGGCTTTGTCCCATTAATATTCAGTTTCAATCTCTGCCACCATTGTCCAGTGCAGCATTGTGTTTTGTGTGACACAAATTAGGAATGGAAAATTAGGATAAGTGTGTGTGTGCCTTATGTGCAGAAACTGTCAGAAGATTATTAATCAACACATCCTGTCATGACGTTTTGCTTACAAATGTCTTCGTTTTCTCCAACCCCAACAGTTTCATCTAATAGTAGAGGGGTGATACCAGCCACAGCAAAGAAAAACAATGTGAGGAATGGAGGCACTGGAGGGCCGATGAGGTCAAAGGATGACGAGTGCTTCGGAGACGGGACCGATGAGGACCTGGACACTGACTTCGACTTTGAGGGAAATTTGGCTCTGTTCGACAAAGCTGCCGTCTTCTCCCGGATTGATGGGACCAATCGCCACAGTAGCGGGGCACAGCATCACAGCACACAGGCCGAACAGAAGCCACTGTCCTATCGCCATGACGAGAATATTCTGGAGGGGAAGCCTGTCATATACCGACAGATAACAGTGCCCCAGCAGGGGGGCAGAGAGTATTGTACTGGTGAGAACAAGATGCATGTGCATACTCATATACACACACACACACACACACACACTTACACGTGACTTAATTTAATATATATTATTCTAGATTTATTGATGTAGTGCTGTCAGTCAGTATAGCAGCAAACCTACAACAGTGGGTGAATCACATTGTTTTTATAGAGTGGCTGTGAGCTAACACACTCAGGCAGAGGCATTTGTTTTGTAGACTTAAGTGTAATCCTTGAGGATGAGAGTTTTGTATCGGATCCTGACTTTACCAGTGGAGAACATGAATACTACTGTTGTCTATAAAAAGTTTACAGAAACAATGAAAAATGTCAGCTGCAGCTTCTCAGAGCCAAAGGTGATTTTTCTTCCCCATCAAATGCACTATTTATTCCTGTTTGAGTAACATTTGCTAAAAATGACAGAGTCCAGGTGCTTCAGAAACAGATCACTTAGCCTTTTCAAAAATAAAACTATATATTTTTGACCCTTTTTTTCGTAGATTTAAATTTTCAGTAGGAACCAATGGGCTTGTGGTTGAGTGCCACAGACAGGCACATTGACGGTTTTACTCTAAATATAGAACATTTCCTTTAGATCCTTTTAAATTTCCTGTTTTTTCCAACATTTTAATACCCAAATGTATTTAATTATATAAAACACAGGAAAAGGTGCTGATTCTCAATCTTTATAAGTTTATTTCTGTGTGAAATAAACAACCTGTTACTATTTTTACTTGAACCATATCACAACACTACTGTGTAATAACAAGGTGTGCTATGATATGAGGAAAGGAAAAGAATATTTAGAGCAGGTCATAAGGTATTTATGGATCCACTTTGATTACCCTAACACTGCACCTGCTGTTACTCACCCCCTAGCTTCTGCCATAGTTTCCATGATGGTGTACTCATCATGATTTGATTTCGTATGACATGGTTAACATTGTTTCCCTTGTACAGGGAAAAAACCTTGAAATAATGTGAAGTCCCTCTTTGGGACATTTTATCAGTGAGCATGTTAGTGTTGTGAGCACAATGTTTGTTTTGGACGGAGTATTTTGTTTCCACCGTGTTTCAACTCTGACCAGGAGGACCATCTGTTTATCTAATAACACTCTTCCAGCTGTTGCCAAAAGCTGTAAAAAATTTAAACTTTTTTACACTTGATTGTAAGGCTAAGAGCTTCTTAGCACTGTGGGGAATGTGCTGCAGTGTCTGTTGCCATTGAACACAATGAGAAAAACAACATGCAGTATAAAGAGTGGGCTCACAGCCTTTTTCTAACATTGGCCAGAGAGAGGTCACCATTGGGCCGACTGCCTGGCAGTATACACCCATGGTTGCATAAGGTGTGCATGAAGGTGACTTTTGACCCCCCCCCCAACCCAACCCCACCCCCTGCTATAGGCCGACATAGATGATGAACCCATCCTTTCTCACTCTTCAGCTGACTCTAGGAGTGTTACATAACTAGTTAATAGAAACACAAGATAAGTAAAATATACGCTAGCACAGGCCATTGAGTCCAAGGTGTGAGAGTAATGGCTCGATCGAATTGGAGCAGTGAGAAGGTGGAGAGTTGGTGGAATTGGGGAAAGGGCTGAGTGGTATGGTGTGTCAGTATGTGTAGGTGTTATACTAGAACCAGAGGGATCAAATTCCACCTTTTTCTGTTCACAAGATATCGTAGTTTACAGGGCAGACGTGGAATAATGACACGGGACAGAACTGTCCCTCTTGGTCCAGATACGCTTATTTGTTGACAGCAAGATAAGGTGGAATTGCAAGCCAAGTGGACATGTAAAAGACAGGGCATTAAATATATATTTACTTTTTTCATGTTGGTATCATTATGTTGGTAAATATATCTCTAAGCTTCTGCTAAGCATTAAATTTTTCTAATCTCATTTGTTTGTGATTTTGCTCAGCATTCATTGTTGTATATGCAGTGTCTCTCCTGTGCTGGATGAGGATCACTGGAACAAATGAGTGTGAGCTTTTTATTCCTAGGCTGTGTACACTAGATGACGGGCAGGTTGTAATACTAATAGTGTTTCTAGGATTTACATCCCAGACTGTCTATCTGATTGTGGTGACACAGCGCAGCTCAGCAGGGGCAGCTGTCTACCAATCAGCAGACAGCTGCCAAGCAGAGCCTCCTTTTCTTACCGTGCAGGCAGATCTGCTTCCCAGGGCTGTCATCATAATCCCCATCCACTGCACTCTGTAATTAGCGTGCCGCCGTACAGCCTTACATAAACAGCACCTCTGAAGCAGGAACAAACCGCAGTGCTCTTGACCTGGAATCTTTGCCAGTAAACAGATAAATCAACAATATGAGAACAGAGCGAGAAAAACAAAGTGCCCAGCTGTATGTTAGGGTTGCCATAACGCACTGGCATGGGGCTTTGACAGGCCTGTTTCTATAGAGCATTGTTTATTGTAAAGCTTGCAGTCTGTGTCGGTTTAGTTCTGCTATTGTCTTGCTTTCCTCTGCGGTGATTGACTCCAGCTGTGCAGTGAAACCTCTCCAGTGCAAACAAGCCAGGGCGCAACACAAATTGCAACGAAGCCAACTGCCAGCTTTTTTTCTCTTATTTATTTATTTTTTTCTTTTATGCTGTATCACTTTGCGGCTAGCAAACTTGAAAATATGTGTCATTCTAAACTATTTTAACCAGTCTGCTCCAGTGACCCAGTTGATAGAGTGGGGACCTCCATGTGTGTTATGATCTTCTCCTGAAACCACATACAGGTGAAGAGGAGGCAAGTACTCAAAGGTTTAGAGACACAAGGACTGCAGTACACATGGGGAAGTGCTCATTAGGTAATATTGTTTTGAAGAATTTCTGACGACTGGGTGCAGGGTACTTTGGCTCTTTCGCCCAATGAAGGCCTGAGGCGTCGTCAGTAAAGGGTGAAAAGGTGACCAGCTGTGTGCTAGATTGTTTGTTTCTTCACAGTAAAGAGTTGTTTATCATATGCACCTGTATATAAGATTTCACAGAAACTTTGTTGGAAGTTTCCTGCAAAAACAATCACAGGTTGTTTATAATATTTAAACAGAGAAATGGACATAAGCAGTGGTCCTCACCATGGCTGAGTAGACAAAATGAAGGGTGCCACCTACCAAAGTGAACTCAACTAACAGAAAATCCAGTGATGTTGTGTTGTTAGATTCGTTAAGTGATTTGTGCAAAACACAGCGCAGAAAGCCACAACAATGAGCTACTGACACCAATGATATTACCAATTTGCTAAAAAGGAATCTGACAGATTACCACATTAAGCTCCTTTTCTGTGCCCAAATGAACCAGCGCCCCATCTTGCTACCTCTGCAGCTCTTGCGGTGCAGAGGAGAGGAATGGAACAGCATAGTCTCGCTCTCCCTATCCCAGCGCAACCCTTAAGTCACACATGGCCCGCATCCAGCCAGCGTGTATTGCTTTCAGTTCCTTCGGTTCCCTTGTCATGCTTGAAGGATTGCTTCCAGCTCAGTTTATTTTAGTGCTGCTGCATATTCATGGCTACCCGGTTTGACTAGTTGACTCTCCGGTTTGTTTTCACACCACATCGAGAGTGGGTGTGTGCACGCATAAATAATTGCATGTGTGTCAGGGAGGAGAACATGGCGTGTGGTTGTGTGTGTGGAAGCGGTGGTAGTGGCAACTTCAGAACTTCAGCAGGAGAGTTATTAAGACGCTCACCTGGTGGGATGTTTGAAAAGCAATTAGTGCATACTGGTGCAACTCCCACTTCTTCTGAGCTTGGCACTCAAGGCAGCAGTTTGCATGACAAGAGCCAGTTGACTTTCCTGTGCTTATCGCTCACGTGAGGATTGGCATGTTCCAGATTTCTGTTGACCACTGAAACATATTAGCCGTCTTTGTGCGGTATCAATAAAAGAATAGTGGGCAGGGAACAGGGCCAACCTAAAGATAAGCCAGAATTTCAGTCAGGCACGGCATGAGTCTGTGTTTATATGTAGTTATCTTGTGTGTGTGTGTGTGTGTGTGTGTGTGTGTGTGTGTGTGTGTGTGTGTGTGTGTGTGTGTGTGTGTGTGTGTGTGGCTGTGTCGTTTGTGTCACTTGTGTCCAAGTTGCATGGCCAGGGTGTAAAGTTGTGGGTGTATGTGATTGTAAATCAGGTTGTTGTGAGTTGATGTAGGATGAGGTGTGGGTAGCATGCGCGCGTGTGGGTGTCAGTGTGAGTTTGTGCACGCCAATGAGGCCACCAAGTTCTCAGCTACCAGGCCAGAGATCTGTAGGAGGCCATTAAGGACTTAACTGCCTCCCAGCAGCTTTATTTATCAAAGGGATCCTGAGCTGTGCAGTTCCCCCAGCTTGACTTTCATTACCCTTCTAATGTGCCACAGGCAATAGACAGCCAGAGATTAGCACAGGCTCTTTAAAGGTTTCTACACACTTCAGTTTGTACAGTGATAAAAAGGCTGAATTGTAGTTATGTAATACAATAATTCAAATAATACACAAAAGAGAACAATTCTGACAAGGTTAGGTGTCGTGACATGACAGGACACATAAAAACAAAGAGGTCTAAGCATTTCCCTCTAAGGAAAGAGAACTACTGAAGATTCAATAAATTTCAAAGCAGAATCTTCTTTTGGAAAACAAGTGCAGCATGACAGTGGCAGTGACCAGAAATGTAAAAATTATTTAAAGAGGTCCAATCCACATGTAGTCACTATATAACTTACCTGTGAAGAACAATACAGTCCTTAGTGTCGATGGGACACATTGACACTAAGTGCTAAATGCTGCTTGTCAGGCTTCCCACAATAAAACAGATTAACCCTTGAGGTAACAAGGGCGACAATAATACAGCACAGAATAGGGTCCAATTGACCCCGTTGTCCTTTACACAATTTACTTTGGTTCTCTGGGAGCTTGACTGAAAAAATTAGCGAATCAGATATATTATTCCATGTGTCTGGAGCATTAAATCCAAATGCGGTCTTTCCAAATTCAGAAGTAACTTTAGGTACATGGACTGTTAGCCAATCATGTGACCAAGTTTATATATTGGTATCAGCTAGTACAGTATATTTACTGATAAGTAACAAGAAATTTCAGTATAGAAATGTCAAAGATAGACTCTCTGAAACCTTCCAGAGACTTATAATATTTAATTTATCAAGTGTAAAATTGTCCATCAACTTCCTGCATGTACTTTCTACAGTTCAGTATCTTACAATACCATATAACCAGTCCTCCATCATTAGCCAGTGATTGGTTTAATGTCCTGCTCAAGGGCACCTTGACAGTTATTGTCAAGGAACGGCAGATCATTCCTCGTTCACTTGGCCCCTAGTGTGGAGATGGGGAAATACTGTAGTTGTTTATTATATAGAATTATATATTTTTGTATAGTAGTGACAAGTGCTCCAGTGCTTTCCTTTAAATGGTTTACCCAGTTCTATACATAAAACTGAACTGAAAATAGATCGGGAGACATATCCCAACTAAAAAAGTAGTCTATGAATTACTTTGGCTCAGAAGTTTTTCTTTATTTAGTAGCCACTGGCAGATGAGCCAACAGTTTAATTTCAGAAACTGAATCCATTGTTCATCCCGGTCACCACCATGCCTCCCCCATGTTTAGTCCTCCCTATCTCTCACCACGAACCGTTGGGATACAGGTGCAGGTGTTCATATGTATATGATGTTTGTCCCCTTTTTTGTCACGCTAACCTGCTGTATGTTTTGACTGAGACGGCAGCCGATGTGGGGGGTCCAGCCCAGTGCAGCCCCGTCCTCAAGCTAGGGGTGGGAGATTGGTCAGAAACCATGTGATGGTGCGTGTGAACTCGGGCCCTGCAGGGAATAGGCGTCTCACTCTAGCTGCCTCATGTTTGTCATGTTTTGTAAAGGCTGCCAATCTTCCCTTTGTTGCCGCAGACAGCAGTGACAAACAGGAGAGGAAATGGAGAATCTTCCGTGATGGGAACAAGATCAGGTCATGAGGAGGAGGAAGGGCTTTTCCCTGAGGAATGGGTTCCTCACATGAGGATCTGTTTTAAACATAACCACCACCCCCTGAGAACCTGGGAAAGTGTTTATCTGTAGACCAATATTTGTCCTTATCTTACAGGTCGGTTTCTGGGCTTTACTTCTACTCCAGTAGTTGTTTTTCAAGGTGCACTGATGAAAATAAGTTTCTTATGAAGATATATCACGATTCAGGATTACTTTAGAAATGCAAAACTGTATCTGGAGCTTGTCAGACTGTTGTAACGCATATTCTTCAGCTTTTTTTCCAGGAGTAAATTTAATCCATGCTGCTCAGTTTGTCTCTTTTTCAGAGAGAGACAGACAGTAAAATTTAAGATTTTTTTTAAATTTTAAGATTTTTATTTACCAAACTGCCTGCCACTGTGTCACAAGATCAGTGATGTTATATGGATCATTTCTATGGGAAAGTTAGAAGTGGATTACATTTACCAGTAAGCAAGGCAAGGCTCAGTTGCCTGGTTTTGGCATGGAACTCAACATGACTTTGATAGCCATGGAGGAATGTTAATGACAGTGCTAATTGCTAGTGGATAAATTCTCTTTCTGTGCTTTGTGTCTCGCTTAATTCATTACACTTGTGTGATGTTTGTAAAAATGAAGAAATAACAAAGTATAAAATAGCATTAACATTCTATCTATGTTACCTCATGTTCTCCCTTTGCAGACTCAGGCCTGGTGGTGCCCAGCGTGCCCTATGAGCTTCATAAGCGTCTACTAGCAACTGCAGAGCACTGGGGCCTGTCTCTTGAGCGCAGGCTGGAGATGATAGGTGTTTGTTCCAGTCAGATGGCTCTCACGCTGCTCGGTGGACCAAACAGGTAAGGAATACCACACAGGCACTGGTATGGTTGGTACCTCTTCATGGTTGGTAAGTGTGTAAAAGAACAAAGTTAATCATTTCCTGGGATACACGACTTGCCATCTGATGCACAGCACAGTACAGTGCAGTAGAGCCTCTGTGGTTTGTGTAATAATAATGAGAATGCACAGCAGTGTGCCAAACATCCCTATCTGAGTAATTCACCCCTAACCCAACCATAAGAGCCGCTCTGTCCTAACTTTTTGTTTGCATGTACTGTTTTCCAGTTTCCATGGCAATCATCTTTACTACAATGTTTCTACATGAGTTAGGGGATGTTGACCTTGACTCCCCTCAGGGTTTATTTTGTCAGGAAAGCACTGCTGCGAGCGGTCACACTGCAGGTCTAGAACATCATAATAGACTGAAGACACCCCTGTTTTGTTAGTGTACCTGCACTGTTATGAGCAATGAAGTCTTATTTTAAGATCAAAGAAACACAGTGCAGAGGCTCATATAACAAACAGGTTTGTTGTCTCAAATCCTTTTATCAATCCAGCACTGTAATACATGCATGTCTAAAGTTTACACCGGAACTACGATGAGTTCAGATTAAGTTTCATTTTGTATTGTAATAGCACGATCACAGACACTACAATGGTGGCAGCAGACAAAGCCTACAGATACGTAATCCTTAAATCAAGCTTCCAGATATTTCTTGCTTATAAGTGCAGTAATTCATATCTAACTAGATGTTTTAAGACTGTGATTATGAATAAGATGGTGCCCACAGTTTATGACCTTTAGCCAAGCATAACACATACCGCCAAGGACTTGGTATGACTGAATATTTAACATGCTTTACTTATTACTAACATTACCTGTGTTAATGTTTTTAATGTTAATGTGTTCTAAAAAAGGCTTTTTATTGGCCAATGTGATACAGATTAACAATGAGCTGGAAGTTATTTATCTAGCAAATATACAGTATCTGTTTTTTCAATCTGTGAGTAACTATTATTGATACATGTATGTTGCAAAGTTATTGAATGGCAGCATGCGCTGGAATTGCATGTAGGTTTTGAATAGCACATGCCTTTAAACTGGCAGACAGACCCAAAGGACTCGGTGTCCATAAACAACCACGTGTCATGTTGTTCTTTATAGTTGCTTTTAGTTGTCTCTTTGTTGCATAATCGCTTTGTCATCTCTCAAATGTCCCCAGACTCACACCAAAAAACGTGCACCAGAGGCCCACCGTGGTTCTCCTGTGTGGGCCCCACCTCCAGGGAGCCCAGGGCATCAGCTGTGGTAGACACTTGGCCAACCACGAAGTGGAGGTCATCCTCTTCCTGCCCAATTTTGTCAAGATGCAGGAATCTGTCACCAGTGAGGTCAACCTCTACAGCAGGACCAGTGGCAAGCAAGTGTCCAGTGTCAAAGGTAAAAAAAAAACACCAACAGAGAGTTTTTAGATCCCTGTCTACCCAAGATTCAGGGACAATGATGGAGAAGAACCAAGTGTGAGTGACTGAGTACCTGTGCAAGCATTAGTTTTTGTCTTGTGGGAACAGACTAACACAGACAAACGTTGCCCTCTAGTGGAGTAATATAATTTAAAACACATTCCTGACACATTTTGTACTTAAAAGCTCAAACTGAGTGATACCTTGGACGTGTGTTTGTAACATCTTTGCTAAATGTGTAGTTGCATTAATTATATGTGAGAAAAGGTGGTGGTGATTTATGTTTCTGTTTTAACACTGTGGTAAATACACACTGGGCTTGTAGTCTGGCAATGCAGGGACAAGTTACATGGCCAAGTGGAGGTGCAGGTTTCAGCCTCTTATGATGTGAATTATTTTTGACACTTGTTTAGACATTTTAGTTTCCTGTAGATAGATAGTATTCAGATTCAATTCAGATTTTTTTCAGAATATCTCCCAGATACAGCAGCATGCTCACATACACAAAGATGTATTCTTTCATGGTTTTGTGAGGCAACTTTGAAACACTGTTTTTCTTCTCCTCATGCTGTGCCTCAGACCTTCCTGCGAGCCCAGTCGATCTGCTCATCAACTGCCTGGACTGCCACGAGAACCAACTGTTGAGAGAACAGTCCTGGTACCAATCAGCCGCTGACTGGGCCAACCAGAACCGGGCTCCAGTCCTCAGTATTGATCCTCCTGTCAGTGAGCAGCATCAGACTGTCGAGGCGAAGTGGACTCTCTCTTTAGGACTTCCTCTCCCTTTAGCTGAGACAGAGAGCAGGGTCTACCTCTGTGACATTGGCATCCCTAAGCTGGTGTTCCAGGAAGTTGGAATCAGATACCTCTCACCCTTTGGATGTAAATTTGTCATTCCTCTGCACCGAGCGTAACAGAAAACCACTCACACTTAGGTGCAAGTGCACAGTGGGAGCGAAAGGTCTGCTTTTCCACTGTGAGTTTAAGGCACCATTGCCAGCATGTGTGTGGCAACCGTGACCAAAACAATCTTCAGTTACAAAGTTTATAGACCTTAATGACACATTTGAGGGCGTCATCTGAAAGACTAACCTATGCATGTGTTGTAGGTTTGTCCGCTTATTCCCTGGACGCTCTGAGGTTGCTGCACATTGCGTGCGACAACTCTTGTTTTTGAGAGAGAAAGGTTTCCTGTTCTTTGGTGTGTTTTGATAAGGGCTCTGTGACTATGTGAATATGTTTACAAAATGCTGACCACTGTGAGTCTATGTGACCTCTGACCCTGTGACCAGTCAGAGCAGCAGCGACTCAGTTCCTGTTTCCTCCTTTAGATTACATGTGGAGTCTGATGCTGACCCCGTGAACTGGGGCTCAGCTCAGCCTAAATCTGCCATTTATCTCCTCCACAGTTGATGTCCACTGTGTTTCAGTTTAATGGATTTTTGTTTTTGGTTTTTTTTGGGTTTTTTTTTACAAACACAAATGGGTATATTTTGTCTGGTAATAGCTGTAGCATGTTACATTGAAAAGGTGGTATTATAAAGTTTATATTTGTATTTATTCTTAAGTACACCTCAGGAATTAGGTATGAAATTTGAAATACTTTATATTTACATTTCCATTACATTCGAGGGCACTCTTTCTGCACTGTTGGTTGTTCTGAATTCATAACCACTAACAGTGAAAATGAGAAGTGGTAGCAGACGCCCCAGAGGATTAATTTTCTGTATTTCTGAAGTCCAGCAGATTAGAGCGGAATTTGAAGCACACATTCCAAGGACCAAAAAAACATCTTCATCTCCAGGGATTATAGTCAGGCAGGTGCAGTGAAACATTTTGACACATCAGATTCAGCCACATCCAGTGAAATAACCACTCCAACCAACTTCCTCTGCTTCAGTCAGCATTGTGATCTTGTGTTAAAACTTTGGATCAGCAAAATGTCAAGTTTATAAGAAAAAGTAAAACAGCCTTATTTTTAGACTGGCAGCTATGCACTTTGGGAAAATATGCAGGTATGGCTTTTCAAAAGCCGTTAAGTCCTTGTGTCAGGAACTTCTTTTCCATCCACCACTTGCAGTAAAAACTTGTAAATAACAAAGCTGTGGTCACAAATGATAAATGACAGCTTTAATAGGCTTTGCAGGGTTCACACTTAACTAATGTCTACATTTAATGTGGACATTAGTTAAGTGTTACCAAGGACAGCTGTGAGAATTGTACTTCTTTATCTCGCCAGAGTTTGCTCAAAACCAGAAGCTGCCCAAAACCAGGTGTGAACACCTGGTGGAGGGAAGCAGAATAGATTCAATTTAATTTGTTGGTGCTTCTTTAAAGTTCTGAATAAGGCGTCTGACTACTCATGTAAATGACATTCAAAAGACTGCAGCCTTTTTTCCTGTACTTTCTCAGAACTGCTATTCTTTTTCCTCTGCACTGCAGCAAAAACCTTTATATTTGATTATGACTACCTATAACAAATGTTTTAGAAAATACCATGCAGGTTTGATTGTAGCCAAGGTTCTGGCTGCCTTGTTCCCAGCCTTCTTGGTTATTGCTGATAAGCCGCTAATTTAAGAGCAAAGTACCTTTTGTAAGCCTGTTAAAGATGTCCTATGGAAAACCTGATCTAGAAACATGTCATTTTTAAATGTATCTTTGAGTATACATGTGAAGCACCAGGCAAAGTATTTGAAGGTGCAAAAATATCTCATTGATAACCATATGGTAGGGTGACGGTGGGTGCTCCTTTTATAGCAAATAAAATAAAAACACTGTGTGCAAACTGCACCGGATCTGGGTCATGGCCACTGGCAAAAAACCACACTTCAATTTCTACACCTGAGTGCACTTTTGAAACACTATACTGAAGCTAATACATTCAAGAGGGAAATATTCAACTTTTTACTCACTGATTTTGACATTTATGGGTTCTACTTACTTCCTGGATAGTTAGATTTAAAATACATGATATATGGTCACTTTATAAAATATGATGTGTTGTTATAGGTCAACTACCCAGTAAGGGAGATAGAATTAGCTTCATAATGACCAGCTGCAGCATTCAAATGCCTCTTACACATTAATTAATCAGAAATACTTATACAGTAATAGAAACTCTCTGATTGGAGCCATTCTGCACGGTGAGTTACTTAACTTGTGATACTTATCTAAACATCTTCATATAGTGGATTCTGTTTCTAATAGTGACACTTTTTATTGACGTAAATATAAATACGTTGTCTATCATGGCACATATTTTAATAGGCCTTTTTCCACTGCAGATGTTTTGACTTGACTTACAGCATTCATTCTTATGAATGATCTGTGAAAAAAGGCATATCATGTTTAAAAAATAGTTTATCATTATAGAAATATTGCCATTATTTTGATAAAAATTGAAGGTAATAGACTGAGTGTCCATCTCTCATCACCAGCTGCCCACACATCACAGGGCTGTTTTGGTATTGGCCTTCTTACAGCAAACATTTTAAGATAGCGTGATAAGTACAGGTGTAATTAATGACATTAGTTATGCCACCATGCCATATACATGTTCCACTTACAGTGCCATGGTTAAATGGCATGGTTAAATACTGTAGGAGTTGATTATGGTAATAACACGTATAAAATGAAGACGACCATACAAAAAGCTCCAATTATGTTATGGGACCAACATTTCAAGCACCTGGTCTTTTTCACATTGCACAGCTGGTAGCAATCCATAATCAGTGAAATCAGTGATCCACAAGGGCACACCTGAGTTAATTACAACGAGTGAACACCGGAAATAGTTAAGAGAGCACAATATGAGACACCATAAATTCTTGTAGAGGGTGTCAATAAAAATTTTCAGATGTCTAGCTTAAAGAGGATAATCTAAAAGAGCTACATAGATATTGAAACAAGTTAGTTAGGGGTCCAAGCTATACAATTAAATAAGGGTATATAATATTTGATATTTATGTCAAGAAATAATAGCAAGGGGGAAAAAACTAATCTGAGATAATATTCATATCTTACAAAATATTTAAATGGGCCTTTTTAAGTACATATGAAATGTTAACTCATATAGTGGAAGTTCTGATTAACCACTGCTGTGGAGATCAGTCCCCAGATCGTCATAATACAGAAATGGACTCATCAGTAATGAGAAGCATTTGAGATCAAATCTGGTTTTGAGCCCATAAAGCAATAACGTTTTTAACTGAAAGATCCAGTATGATTCCCAGTATGCTTTGTGGGAAAAAAAATGGAATCAAATGTTGTGCTCTCTTAACTCTTTGTAGTGTTAACTTTTTCTAGTGTTCAGTGATTGTGATTAATTTAGGCATACCTTTGTAGATTGTTCATGATGTCACTGATCATGGTACCAGGAGTGAGATGTGTGTGTAAATAGGAGTGTCTGATACAAGTATTCAATATGCATTGAGAAAGATCAGGTGTGGACCAAATATTAGTCAATTAATAATATTTTTGGAGCTCAGTATGTGGTCATCTGTATTTATCATTGTGATAACTGATTACACATTTATTTACAAATGGCATTTGTGTAAATTTTGACGCAGGGCTCCTAAACAGGTAACAATGCAGTGTGTGTTCCCTAATTATTAATTATATTAACACAAACCAACTGACATACAATCAATATGAGGCACCCAGGAGCCTCTAGAGGAATTTGTATCAATTTTTGTGTAAAGAGTTACCCTTTGGCTTGGGTACAGTAGCCTAATACAAGATGCACTGGTATGTTACAACATACATCCATCCTGTGCTTAATACCCAGCTTGAAACGCACAGGCAGGCAGCTACAGCTGAGGGGAGACCTCTCGCTGTAACAAGTCCGCCATCAGTTGACAGTGTCACCTGTTGGCCACACGGTTGTGCTCACAGACCGCTCGCCCCGTGGCTGTGCTATTCCTCTGCGCATGCGTGTTCCGTTGACTGAGCGGAGACCATTTCCTCCAGCAGCAGGCCTCTCAGAGCTCCGCCACTCACACACATACACACACACACACACACACACACACACACACAAACGTACACACATATGCAGACAGAGTACGGACAACAGTCAAAGCAAAGCCACGTTTGGGATTGTCTAATCTTGCTGCAAAAACTGGATGCCCCCCAACCGCAGGAGTCATCCTAATGGGCCTTCGCCGTTAATTTACAGCAACATCTGGTCGACACCACAGTGGTATCTTTTGGGTGAGTTGCTCACAGCGCAGTCACTGTTTTGTCTTCGTTGTGTTGCTGCTGCTGCTGCTGCTGCTGCCGCTGCCGCTGCAACGTTTTTAGCATTGGGAGCTCCAGGATAGTGAACAGGGAAGGGAATGTCACTGTTGGGCTGGATATGCTGCCTGTGTCTTCTGTGTACTTTACACTCACCAACGGCTTTTGAGTGATATGCTAATGTGAACAGATTTCAGTGTACAGAGCTAACGTAAAACCTGTTTGAGAGCGTTAGCGTTAGCTGCTAGTTAACATACAATGTAACGTCACGAGATCCATTATCGGACACTATTTATGCTAAGTCTGAACAGATTTATTTCCCCGGTTCACTCCTTAACACATTCCCTGGGCTTGACAGCAGAACAGCACACACAGACGGAACAAGACAACTGTTAAACAACTACTGTGTTGTTGGTTTGTGTTAGCTATTATGTTCTTGTTATGGGCGATTTTGCGGCTGTGCCCAAAACCTCCGAGTCACCCCCCTTTCTCTCTTCTGTTTCCATAGTCGGACACCTTGGTCGTGGCTAACGCCTTGTAATCTTGACCTTTTCTTGACTCTCTTCTTTGTCTTTCGTATATATTTGTTTGCACAGTGTTGTCCGGTACTGTAGGGAGACCCAGAGATAAAGCTGGAAGTCAATAAAACAGGGAACCATACTGCATTGTGTTACAGGCGGATTGCGCCGTTTGGGATTTTTGTAAAATGTCGTGTAGAGGCACGGTTAGTGTGTCGTTTAATTAGTTACCACTTTCATATAAAACTTGTGCCAATACTGTGGCGTGACCTTCTGTATTGGTTTGTATTTTGCTGGGAATTGGGGACAGAAAGCACGAAAGAATTATACTGTCCGACAATGGACCCAGTAATTTTAGCCACCTCCGCGCTGCACTAGAACACAGGGCTGGAGCTGAGGTTCAGCCCCTTGGCTTGAGGAAACACTGATCAGTATCTTTCCACTGATATTGTTTTAATGTGTGTCCATTATTACATTCTTTAGCATTGCTTTTGTTTTTAGGTGAATATGTGCCTCCCTGTAACAGAAGAAACTGCTACACAAGAGTTGTCCTGCTAATGACAATAAGAGGAGATATTTGTATCACACGGTTGTGATGTTGTGATTTTGATAGTGTAGTTATCCCACAGGGGAATTGTTTTTCTCTTACATTGCTCCATGAGAAGGTCAGAGGTCATGTTAAGCTACAGAACACCATCCTGGAGCTGGTAGAGCTTCAGTGACTTGCTCAAGGACACCTAAGCAGGGTGGATGCTTGTAAACACAGAGGTTTTCAGGTGAAGGGAAATGAAATATATCGACAATAACTGTGGTATTGCTAAATGTTGTTGGTATCCCATGAATCAGACCTGCGTGAAGCCTGTGCCCCAGTCAAAGCTTGAAGGTAAAAGTCTGAGTGAAATGTTGAAATGTACATACCTTTGCAAGCCTTGGCATGACTGACAAGAGCAATGTAGTGTCTGTAGTGTATTGTTACTTTACACAGCACCTAATTACTTTCAGTGACAAATCTTACGATTAGTGTATTATCTCTGTGGCTGTGCTCATTATCAGACTTTACTGCTCAGAATCTAAAATATCAGCCCTTCAGATCTTGTCAGTTATTTGGATAACTGATTGCTACAGTGGGCTTGAGGCTGATCAACAATTGGATTTTTGCATTATTATCTGGATGGAGACGTTGGCAATTGTACAGTCTGATATGAGAATTATTTTACACAATTTGCTGGTTTGCCGATAAGTTTAATTTACACAAATTAGTCTTCAAAATTGCAACTAGTTTGCACGCAAGTTCTAAAAATGTCTCCTAATTTGTGATTTTAAAAACGCTGTAACAGTTGGTGTTTGTTGTTTATTTCTTTGCTACCAGATAGTTGTTATCTTTTTTTGCAGCCCACCTGTCTTAACTGCAGTGCTGAGTGCTGATGAAGCGCTGTGGTAGCTTTGGGTTTTCTATTAGAGAAATCTGTTACCAAGGCTGGTTGGAGCGAGGTGGGGGTGTGAGGGCTTGGCATCCATTATCCCCAGAGGAATCTGGTGAACCAGACTGCAACATGTTAAGAATCCATATGCTGTGTCTGTCAGGGCTAACCTGCTGCCGGTGTCTAAGGATGTCCAGCATAGTGGCTGGAGGGTCTGTGCTGAGAGTGGTTGCAATTAATGCCTTTTTCTCTCAGTGTAAGGATTCATGTCATTTCTGTGTGAAAAAAAATTGCACACAATGTTTTATTTTAGCACACTGTACTAGTGCTCTAAACACAGCGTGACTCATCCCTGGTCTGAGTAGTGAGACTGTACAGCTCCAGCTCCATCTGTGAAGTCAGACCCATCCAGTAAGGTGGCAGAAGACTTGCAGATTAAATCCTGAACCACGCTAAGTTCTTTCCCTTGCCTGTCTACTGTTTGTCAATAGCTCTCCCCATCTCACTGACTGACTGATGGCTAGATAGGAGTAGTCCAATGGAGGTGCAGCTTGACGAGGACTAGAGGTGACATGACAAGTCTGGAGGCTTAGTTACATGTCGACTCTCTTCTTTTTGGTGATGAGTTATGAGGAGGGAAGAAAAAAATCGCTCTGGTCGACCCTTGAAGCTGCTAGGAGCTGAGCTCCATTACTGTCTTGTGTTAAGCTCTGAGCTTGGCTTATGTGCTCAGCTGGGAAGTAATGGCTCCTCTGTCTGTACACTGACCATCTCATTGCACATTTGAAGCCTGTCCAAGGCCCTGCTGACCTCAACACAATGACCGCGTTTAGTTCGTTTTTCTCCTCCAGCCTCTTCTCTCCAACATCCACTGTCTCTTTAATCAGCAAGTGCAATACCAAAGGAAGGATTTATCGTGGTGACTTTGGTGCAGAGCTTAACAGTATACTGACACTCATGAGCAACAGGACATCACAGATGGTGCGAGACTTACTGTACACAGTAGGCTGTATCACTCTGCATAGATGCATTCAACACCATTTACTCATGGTTGTCTGCATTTCAGCAGCATGGGATAGTATGTTTAGTACCTGTAAAGGGAAGTACACTGAGTTATTAGCAGTGCATGACTATTTATACCTGAACACACAAAGTGCACAGTGTAATGTATTTTACTGAGTCTGATAAGGTATGTGCACATCCTGAGTTGTGCAGGTTTATTCTAGACATTTCAAGATGCAAAGTGGCGAGCGGTGCTATGGTCCACTTATTTAGGAATGATGATGGAAAGTGAAACTGGCAGCAGATCTGCACTGCACCTGCACTGCTTCCTCTTTTTAAATATGTGCAGAGACAGACAGGTGCATCATTCAATAGTACTGTACACACTTGTTTGTGAGGTCTACAACAGTCTCATTGTCTCTTAGCTGATAAGTGATCAAAGGTTTTTTTGTGTTTTGTGTACACCAGACACGACTGTGGCTGATTCCTGTTAAAGAAACTGCTGTGTTGCCTGCTTGTGGTACTCCTAATCAGATTACTGCTAGTATTGTGAAGGAAGTATACCTATGCTGTTTCTTAATTTGTGTAATTCCCATACTCACACTTGCTATTTTGAGCACATAAGTGCTTATTGATAAGTATGACAACATGCAGTACACTCAAAATGGTCAAAAAGTTCGGTGTGAAACGCTGTACACTTCTTACTCTCAATGGTCGCCAGCAGATAATTTGGTGACCGCGGTCACATGTTGCAATTGTCATTTCCAGTGAGTGTACAACAGCACTGTTTGATTTGAGACAACACTGTCTCGTCGGATGTCACGCACTGCGCCAATGAGTATACTGTGCACAGTGTACTACATGTGATGTACCCAATTTGAGACACAGCGATACTGTTTATTTCATATGCAACTGCAACTAATGATTATTTTAATTATCAATTAATCTGCCAACTACCGTCTTGATTAATCCATTAGTTCACACCTCAGTGTGCAAATGTTTTCACAAATGCTTAGTCCTCTTTTGAACTTTAACTCTGTATATTTCTGTGTATTTCGACATCATTGCAAACGAGGGAAACCTCAATGTTCTTCAAAGCTTAACACATAAAATGAACAGAAACTGATGAAAATTGTCGTCTTCAAATTGTCCCTTCTGTTCATTATATTATATTATATTATTACTAAATTTCACAAACACATTGGTGCTTGCCTGTTTTAAATCCTGTTTTTTCCTGCTTTAACTACATCGACCAGAAACATCACTTATTTGGTCCTAATTTATTCTTCTTACAGTGTCGCTTGTATATCTTCTTATTTGATCAGCACCTGCTGAGCTGTGATCATGGCAACTCCCCTCATACCCTCCCTCTTGGTGATCATGCTTCCCAGTAGAATAGTGGCATTGTGGCTGCCATCTTGCGTGCAAACTCAGCGAGGCCCCTCCATCTGGGCAGCGGCTGGTCAGTCAGGCAGCTCCTTGAAGGCTGGGAGGCTTCTACTGCCACGCCTGCTGGCTAGCTGCACAATGTAGGCAATGAGCAGAGCCAGAGGCCTGACACATGCCTGGACTTTCACTACACCCACGGCCTCCAGAGGTTCCCCACTGAGAAGCACTTCACACAAGAATATTGATAATCCAAAATTTCTAGAAGAAGCCATTTCAGACAAATTCATTTCTCATTGTTTATTTTTCCCTTTTGCACTGTTTGTGTTGCTACTGTGATGGCATTGAATCATTAGGTTCTCCAGTCATGCATCAAAGTAAAATATTTTGACTTTGAACACATTGCAAATACATTATATAGATTATGAAACAGTCTACAAACAACAGATTTTCCCTTAAAATCTTTAAAATCCTTTAAAAATAGTGTGGCAGTATGCTTGCTACATTTAAGAGGCAACGATATAAAAGGAGCCTGACCTGTCAGATGACAGTTGGAGGACCCCCACCAGTTCCTGTAACCTGCAGCTTAAATGTTTTATTACCCACATAACGATTTTCTACCTGAGGTGATCATTTAGAAATGGGGTAG